TTTCCTTCTCCCTCTTCTTCCTTCATAAGCACGCATCTCCTAAACTCTTAAGGGACCCCACGGGACTTCCAACCAGGGGAGCAGTGGGCAGTGGCATCTTGCCCTGGACTTACCCCCTGAACCTGTCTCCAAGGCCCCACTTTCTCTGACTACACTGAGCTGACAGCAGGCCTGCCTAGGGCTCACTTTCCTATAACATTTCTGGAGAATCAAAAGAGCCCCGCCTAGTCTGTCTCCTGCTACTTCTATCCTAAGCCCTTCCTTGTTTCCTATGTTCCCAGCTTTAATAAACATACTCTCAAAATCTTTCCTGCATGAAGTCAAGTACCCACACTATGGCCTGCCAGAGGCAGGCCTGCTCCTGTACTGGTTGCTGTCTGGTAACAGCATTATTTAAACATCTGTAAATAAATCCCAAAGAGAAATCTTAAAAGTATGTGTGTTGTCAATATCACAATGTCCAAACCTGTCATTCTTGAGGTGTGTTTTTTATAAAAAGTTATTTTAGCCAAAAAGGGGATACATGTACAAGCAAGATCTCAACAGACTGAGATGAATGCTTTCTAGAATAACAGTTTGCAGTTTCTTTTTATGCATTTGAGATTAAGGAGGTGTAATAGTGGGGAGTGTAACGCACCCCACCATTCTTTCGACGTTTCTATAAATGCTGGCTCTGACTCATGTAGCTTGTAGATAAACAGCATGTTTGCGTAAGAATCCTAGGAACTAGCTTCAGAAGATGCAGACTCTGACCTCCTGCCATCCCAGCTCTGGGGAATTTGCTGACTTGCAGACGTAAAACCAGGATGAGGAAGACCCTGGTGATGCTCACCAGACCGTCACTGGACTGCTTTCGAGTTCCTCATTGGAATGGACTGTTGGCTGCACAGGGAGAATTCTTCAACCCCCTCCTCTTGATCTCTTCTGGTTTTCCTCACCCTCCTTACAAAAACCTCTGCCTGCTCTGAGATGTTGAGATGTGTTTTGTGAAGTCCCCCACCATCTCCAGATGCCAGCACTCAAATAAATCTCTTTTCTTTTTTCACCAGCCTCTGTCTCACGAGTTTGGCTTTTGTGGCGACAAACTGGATTTCAGTTACAGAGGGAATGTAAGGAAGATTACTTGAAGGTGGAGGAAGAAACAGTAAAGATTGTTCTCTTGGGAGTGACCACAAGGAGCTTGCATTACAGGGTAGTTAAGATTATGTGCAAAGGCGTGTTAACCTAGATGCCTAATCTGTATATTGTATAGTGTTCACCAGCCCAACACAAGCCTCCTTCCATCACCATTTATCCCCCTTTCTCATCTACCTCAGACCACCCCACTTTTCCTCTGCTAATCGCCATACTGCTGTCATTCTATGAGGTGTGTTTTTTCTTGATCCCTTCACCTTTTTTATGGAGCCCCTCCTCCCTCCTTCCCTCTGACAGCTGTCAGTCTGTTCTCTGTATCTATGAGCCTGTTTCTATTTTGTTTATTTCATTCGTTAGATTGTACATAATAGTGAAGTCATATGGTATTTGTCTTCATTTGAATGGCTTACTTCACTTAGCGTAATGTTCTCCAGGTCCATCCATGCTGTCGAAAAGGGTAAGATTTCCTTTTTTACGGCCCATTGTGTAAATGTACCACATTTTTTATCCACTCATCCTCTGATGGGCGCTTGGGCTGCTTCCAAATCTTGGCTATTGTAAATACCGCTGCCATGAATTAAATCCTAATTGGAAGTGACGTTTGTTCCTGGATCCAACCTTCTCCCCACCTTAGCAAAAATAGTTTTCACCAATTAAAACGTACACATCTCAGTTTTCAATATACACAGTGCACACAACTCTAAGCATTTACCTTCAACTGTTAGAAACATCAACTTTTAAATATATATATTTTTTTATTGATTTCAGAGACAGGAAGGGAGAGAGAAAGAGAGAAACATCAATGGTGAGCCATTGATGGGATGCCTCCTGCATGCTCCCTGCTGGGGGTCGAGCTCCAGGAGGCCGGAATGTGTCATGACCAGGAATCAGCCACGATCTCCTGGATCGTAAGTTGAGGCTCAATCACTGAGCCATGCTGGCGGGGTGGAAACATCAACTTCAAATAGGCAGGGCCCCCGCATGCGGTGCTCAGCGGTTGAGCGTTGACCAAAGATACAGGAGATCGCAGTTCGATTCCTGGTCAGGGCTCCACCCTTAGAGGGGCGTGCAGGAGGCAGCGGATCAATGACTCTCATCATTGATGTTTCTCTCTCTCTCTCTCTCTCTTTCCCCCCCTCTCCCCCTCTCCCCCTTCCTCTTTCTCTAAAATCAATAAAAATACATTTAAAAACTAAACTGAACTAAAATAGGCTGGAAGGCGCCCTGCTCCACAGGACAGGATGGAAATACAGCAGGTTCCAAAATTCCAGAAAATAAGTAGCTGGGAGAGCAAGGAGCGGTCCAGGCCCCGCACCTCGTGGCCACGCCCCCTCCGCTTTCCGCCCCGCCCGCGGCTGGGAGCCCTGGGCCCCGGACGCGCTCTGGTCCCGCCTTTCCGGCAGCGCGCACGCGCAGTCCCTCAGAGACCCGGAAGCGGCTGTGGAGCGCGGCGCGTTCCGCGGTCCTGACTGATTTCGGTCTTTCGGGTGGAAACCTGCGGGCGCCCG